GGGGCCGGGCCCGGGGAGCCGCCCAGGTGGGTCGGGGGGCGGGCCCGTCCTGCCCTCTGGGGCTCGGGGGGCTGCGCTTGGGTCCCCTCAGCGGAGGGACCCGTTCGTAACGTGGCTTTTCCCTTGTTTCTGTTCCCCTCCAGAGGGTTCCCGACGCGCCGGTTCCCTCGATGTGTGAGAGCTTCCGAGCGGCGCGTTCGGCCTGCGGGGCGCGGGGAGCAGCAGCAGCAGGAGGAGGAGGAGGAGGAAGGAGCAGGGAAGAGCCGGGAGCAGCAGCGGAGACCCTCGGGAATTCCATCCGTTCTGCATCCCAAGCCTCGCTCCATCACCCCCCAGCTCAGCCCCGCGCCCGCAGAGCCCCAGGTGACGCAGCCCCGGGCTTCGCACAGCGATCGAGACAGATCCCGTGTCTTTTCCCTCTTTTTTTTTTTTCCCCTCTTTCCCTGGAAAAAATACCCCTCCCTGCCCGGGAGAGCTGCCTGGCCCCTCTGTGCCCGGGCAGGACCCAGGGCACATGCATGAAGTGATTTAGAAATAGGAATTTATTCCAGTAACTCTCCCCTTGGGGGTTCTACCATGAGGGCCGGTTGCTTTGCTGGGAAAAAAAAAAAATGGAATTAGAGCTTGTTTCTGTTAATCTGTGCTGCCTGGAAGGACTTTGCTCGGGATAGATACAAACAGGAGGGCTGGAATAAGGTTCTTGGAATGGGGCCTGGAGTCAGGTGGTCGGTGTGAAACGGGGTGAGCAGATCATTCCCTTTACTTCCAGGAAAATGAAGTAGCTGTGATGCTGGTAGTGTCTGGGATGTCTTTATTAGCTCCTTAATTTCATTGAAATCCCACGTGGGGAAGGGCTGGAAGGGGAATCTGGTTCCTGACAGCTGAGATCTGATGGAGTTGTCTGGGGGGGAGGCAGGAGCTCAGCAGGGAACAGTCAGTCTGCCTTTTGTCTCTGTGGTAATTAATTGTAATTAACTGGGTCAGCTGGGGCTGTTAAACTCTGCCTGTGTCCTGTCCAAGAGGTGCTGCCATCCTGGGGGGTCTGGTTTGTCCCCTGGGCTTGTGCTCTCTGCCCCTCTGGCCCTGGCACAGCCCTCAAGGCAGCTCAGCCTTTGCAGAATTCCTCTTTTCCTCAGTGTTCCCTCCACTGCAGGGAGAACTGGCAGGTTGAAGGAGCCCTTTGGAGCCAGGAGACAGCAGGACATGAGATTTGCAGACAGTGTTTCTCAGGCTGCTCGAAAACCAATTTCTTTTCTCTCTCCCTCTCTCTTTTGAGGCTGTTGTGCTACTGACATTTCCCAGTTTATTATGGATCAGAAACCTTGGCTCTAGCCAGGTGCTTCCAGAAGTGAGAAAGGCCGTGTGAGTGTAAGCAGGTGGATGTTTGAAATGTTTTTCATGCAAAACTCGTAATTTTTTTTCAGAGGAGCTGGACAAACAGGCTGGATGTGCTGGAGCAGGTCTGGGCACAGGGAGGGCAGTGGGTCACCTTGTGCCCAGGGGGGAGTTGGCTAAAAGCTGGTGAAAGCCCCAATATTTGTGGGGGTTCCCCTTCCTTAGACGTTCCCATTGCTGACACTACTTAGTTACTTGGTTTTTTCAGCATTTCCTTTGCTCAGAATGGGGATTGTGGCTTTTCCTCAAAGAGCTTAAAACCAGTTTTAGTTCCTTCAAATGTTTCTTGTGAGACAAACTGCAGGGCCAGGCAGGAAATGCCCTGGCAGATGAGCCCCCTGTGAGGCCCATCCTTCCTTCCTACTCCTTCCACAGCATCTCCTGTCCTTTTTCTCTCTCCAAAGACTGACTGGAATTCCTCAAACCACGACAGCTTTGAGTTTTCTGCTTTTCCCTCCAGCTCTGTTGCTCCTCTTCACCCTGTCAGGCCCAGCATGGGTTCTGTGCCTGCCCCTCCATGTCACCCACCACGTGTCTTTATGCACCTGGTAGTTTAATGTCTTCTCCCTCCTGCCCTTGTTTTTTGATTTTCAAGGGGAATTTTGTCTGGAATTCTCTCATTTCACTGCTGCCCAGGTGAGCTGTGCAAGGTCTGGACAACAGAAAGCATGCAGGTGAGGGAGCAGGAGGAGCAGGAAGAGAGTTTGCTGTTCATGTTGCTCATTCCAGCCAGGAGGGAGCTGTCAGCTCTGATTAAACAACAAAAAATGTAAATCCTCTCTTATTCATATTTTTGGGGGGTTTAGCTCCTCTTAGTTTTAGTCTTTCTTGGAAAGATTGAACTTAAGGCTCTCTGTTGGCCTGCCTGTGGTGTTTTCTTCCAGTAAGAGCAGCAGGAGGTCTCACTGATGACATTTAAACATCTGGGTCACCTCACGTTACCTGTGTTTGTTCCCTGCTCAGTTTTGATATTGGGAGAGGAGGAAATAAAAGGGATGAGTGTGGAAAGATCAAAGTAAGGCTGGAGCTGCCCCAGGCACAGGTCATGTGCCAGATGGGGTTTGTGGATGAGCTTTTCCTGGCGATTTTAGGTTCTGGGTGAGGAGGTATCAGGAGTGTGCAAACAAGATTCCTTCTGTTTTCCACCCCCCATCGGGTAGTGGATCCAAAAGCCAAACTAGACAGAGCTTCCCTCTTTCTCAAAGGTTCATCTTAAGCTTTGTGAGTCACTGGGTTTAAATAATTTCTTTAAGCTTTTAAAGCCAGCAAACATCAGGGGCAGCTCCTGGTTTTCTGTAGCTGTAGAATTGCTTATCGAGTTTGCACGTCAAACTGGGCTCATTCCTTTTACTCTACTGGATTTTCAAAGCTGGAGAGGGGGAATGGGGAATGGATATCTTGGAAAAGGTGGTTGGAGCCAGCTGGGGTCTGCAGCCCCTCTGCAGAGCCGAAGTTTGACCCAGGAACCTGTGGCTGAAGGGTGTCTTCATCTCAAACCACCTTCTTTTGTAAAAACATTCCACTTTTTCCCCCTAGAGATGTCTGGTTTGTAGGTTGGTTTTTTTTTTTTCCTGCTTAACAAGTTGTTGTCTGGGAATGTGGCATCTCTGTGGATTTAGTTGTTATCACCAACTTTTGAGATCTCTGCAGTGGAGAAGCAGGTTGGGCAGCCAGAGCCCCGGTGCCTGCGCTCTCCAGATAAGAAAGCGAAGGAAAATCAGAAGTCTGGGATAAGAAATGCTTTCTGAGCCTGTGTCTTATCCAGAGATACCACATTTCTCTGCACTTCAAAGTGCTGTTAAAATCCCACTGGGTTTAGACCTGGCCCCCAGAAATTCATAAACATAACGGGACGTTTGGACTGAGGCTTCGCCTCTTAAAACTTGGCAGTTTTTTGCCCTTGCTCCTTGCATGGAAGAGTTGTTACAATTTTCCCTCTGAGAAATTGCCTTCTAATCTCTATCCTAAAATTAACCACAGTGGTTTCTCCTCCATACCAGCTGTGTCCTTCACCAGCAGCAGAGATCTTCCTCCTCCTCGTTGTTTTGCCTGCTTTTTCTAGAGCTGACCTAATTACTGGATTCCTCTGCTACTGCTTCTCTAACCAAGGTCATTTTGCTTCCCTGATCCCTGCAGTTCCATCCAGAAGTGGTAAATTCAAACTGGGAATGCTGCAGTGGGGAAAAGACCTGCAGAGATGATGCTTTGACCCTGTTTTGCACGAGAGTCTTGTTTTGCACAGCTGTCTTTCTGGAATGGCTTTGCCCGATAAATCATAGAATTGTGGGATGGTTTGGGTTGGGAGGGACCTTAAAATCACCAGGTTTCATCTGGTGAAGGGACACCTTCCGCTGGCCCAGGTTGCTCCAAGCCCCATCCAACCTGGCCTTGGACACTTCCAGAGATGGGGCAGCCACAGCTTCTCTGGGCACCCTGTGCCAGGGCCTCCCCACCCTCACGGGATCCCGGGATCTCCTTTATGTCTCCTCAGGGTTGTGTCCCGCTGGGCTTTATGACCCCAATCACTTGTTCCCTGTCCCCTCTCTCTCTCCTGACTCACAGGATGTGGTGCCAGAGGCTGGCGTGGCTGCTCCGGGGGAGCTCCGGGCGTCGGTGGCCGAGGAGCGTCGTGGCGTTGGCGCGCGGGCACCACACGGCCCCGCGGCCCCTGCGCTGTGCCTGGCAGCTGCACGGCGACCACCTGGGTAGGTGTGCCTGCTCCTGCTGCTCAGCCTGCCTGGGCAGAGCAGGGAGAGTTTCCAGACCTCGTTCCCTGCGAGTGATGTATTTTTTATTTTTTTTTTTACCTTCTGAAATCACCATCACGCCGGTTCCCTCGGAGAATTCCCAGAGGCAGGACGGAGCAGGCTCGTCTGCTGGCGGCAAGTCTTTTATGATAAGCGAGGCAGTGCTAAATCAGAAGTCAAATCCAGGGATTCCAGCTCGAAAAGTGCATCTGAGCCCTGCCCTGTCAGGCAGCATGTTCTGTGCTGTGCTCAGGCTCTCCTGACAGGGAGGATCTGCTGTGTTCCCGCTTCTTCTGCCCCCACTGGTGCACATTCTCCTGAGGCCAGTTAGATCGTGGTGCTCTGAGTCACTTGGAAGCAAAGGAAGTTTCTCAGCACTTTACAGTTCCCCCCAGAAAGGATATTGTAGTTTTCTCACTGCAAAGTGACCTCAGATACCTGAATTTCAAAGCTGGGTGGGACTAGAGCAGGAAGGGCTCTCCTGTTGCCTGTGCTGGCCCTTCTAAAGGGCTTTGAGTATTCCCGAACTGTCCCAAGATGGAACAGGGAGAGGTTTAATGATTTTTTTGGTTGACTCCTCTCTGCACTCCTGTTCTGGGGCTCTACAACTCTGTGATGTGCAGCTCTGAATTTACCACTTATTGAAGAGATGATGGAGGGAGGTCTGGGCACAGGGCGAGTGTCAGCCGTGCTCCTTCCCGCTGCAGGAGGGGATGTTGCAGTTTAGTGGCTTCCCACTGACAGAGGGCAGGGTTAGATGGGATATTGGGAAGACATTCTTCCCTGTGAGGATGGGGAGGCCCTGGCACAGGTTGCCCAGAGCAGCTGTGGCTGCCCCATCCCTGGAAGTGTCCAAGGTCGGGTTGGAGCGACCTGGGCTGGTGGAAGGTGTCCCTGCCCGTGGCAGGGAGTGTAACTGGATAAACCACAAGGTCCCTTCCAACCCAGACCATTCTGGGATGGTTCTTTGAGATGTCCTGTAGACTTGATAAGAAGGGAAGCTGGTGGGATCCCTGACAACCAGGCCTTTGCTAAGATGTCCTGCCTGGTCTTCCTCACGTGACAATTTACATCAAGAGGCGCCTCTGCATCCCCTGTAAGCGGCACCACAACGCGCGGGCTCTGGGCTCGCATTCTGGCCTCTGGTTTTTCTCCCTGTTGCCCCAAAGCATCCTTTGCTCCCACCCTTTGCAGAGCTGAGGTATGGGAACACCCTGATGCGCTTGGATTTCGTGTGGCTGCGGGATCACTGCCGCTCCGCCTCCTGCTACAACGCCAAGACCAACCAGCGCAGCCTGGACACGGCCAGCGTGGACCTGGCCATCAGACCCCAGGCCGTGCGGGTGGACGAGAGCACGCTCTTCCTCACCTGTGAGTGCCACAGCACCTGTGCCCTTCCTGGTTTGGTTGATGGATCCCTCTCGGCTTTGCCGGGACAGGGCGGCGTTATCCCAAAATCGGGGGCTGGCTGGGAAGGCATTGAGCTGTGAGCAGGCTTTAAATGCTGCTCTTACTGTAAACACACCTCAGCCTTCAATTGTGTCTGGTTTTCCTCCCCCAGCCCCTTTTTTATGTAGAAATATGTGTGTGCAGTGTGGGGGTGTTGGCTTGGTTTGGTTGAACACCCCAGAAGTGCAGGTGGTGAGCAGATGGGTCAGGACACGGTTGTGTTTGAGATGGTGTCATCCCTGATCACAATGCCCATTTTCTGCCCTTCTTCCTCAGTTTCCCACCTGTTTTCTTCCTTTTGGTGGAGCTTGCCTTTATTCAAGGTCTTGACTTCAGAGATTTGCTTCTCCTTGGAATCCTGTCAACCAAAACCACGGAGGCTGCACCACTTAGCCCTGAATTTGGAATTGCTGCAGCCCTGAATTTGGAAGTGGTTGCAGCAGCCCTGAACTTTTGGAGGGAGTTGCAGCCACTCTGAATTTGCAGTTGTTGCCGCAGCCCTGAACTGGGAGGGAGTTGTTGCAGCAACAATTTTTTCAGGACTCGCGGCCTTACTAATAATGTTTTGGGTGGCACCAGGGTGCAGAGAGCCCATGTGCAGACAGGTGAGCGGGGTGAGGCCTGTCCTGACTGATGCCATGACCACAATCCTGGGCTGCTCAGTGGTGACTGTGCCCTTTGTCCCGTGTGCCAGGGCCGGACGGACACGTGACACGGTATGGGCTGGAGTGGCTGGTGAAGAACAGCTACGAGGGGCAGAAGAAGCAGGTGATGCACCCCCGGATCCTCTGGAATGCAGAGATCTACCGGCAAGCCCAGGTCCCCTCCGTTGACTGCCGGAGCTTCCTGGAGACAGACGAGGGCCTGAAGGAATTCCTGCAGAACTTCTTGCTGTACGGGATTGCTTTTGTGGAGAACGTCGCTCCCACCAAAGAGGACACGGAAATCTTGGCAGAAAGGATCAGCATCATCAGGTAACTGGGGCTGTCCCGGGGAGGGTAAACTTGTCTTCTCCTTGTTTGGAAAGGTGCTGTGTCCTTATCCTGTATATTGTGTGGCATGGCCTGGTTTGCAGACAAAAGCTCTGGGTCTTCTACAGCTTCCAGCTGCCCCACTTGACCTGGGGTGGAGGATCCCACGGTGGGATCTGCCCCCTTTTGTGACAGAACTGGGAGTCCCTGGGCTGTGGAGCTGCCCCGGGAGCATACGATGACTTTTGTGACAGTGGGACTGGGTAGAGAGCAGGGACTGAAGGAAGTGGCTGTCTGGGAAGAGCAGAGCTTTGCAAGGAGAGACATTTCCTGTTATGACTTGAGGGGTCAGGAGGGCAGCCTGGCCCTGGGAGCCAGGGACATCAAAAACCAGCCCTGGGAGTCAGGAACTTCAAAAACCGGTTATAGCTCTCACTAAAGAAAAACAGAGTGAGAAAGGTGTCTGCTGCATTTGTGCAAAGCACCACCAGCAAGGCAGGCTGGGCAGGGAGTTTGGAGTTTTATCCAAGCTGCAGAAACAGTTTGACTTGCCTTGGAAAAGGAGGGATTTTTTGTAATGAATGGTCACTCCAAATAGGAATGAGGGGCTCCAGGGAATATCCAACCAACTTCTGTCTCCAGACATCCTCCCTCTGTAGCCCCTGAGTGCTGTTTGTCCCTACTGCTGTCCCTTCCCTCCTGTGCATGTTTGTAGGGGTGAGGTGGGTGAAGACACAGGATCCTGGGAAGAAGAAATGGGATTATTGGGTACAAGGAAGGGCTAACTGCACTTGGGCAGCTCCTTGTGTCACTGAAGTGACTGGGGATGATGCTCAGTGTGAAAACATCTGTATTTGTGGAGAGGAAGCAAGACTTGTCACTACCAGCCTTTTGGGAGGAAAGAGAGGAATTTGAATGCTTGGAGAGGGATTAGAAGCACCATCTCTTGACTGTAAATTTTGTCAAGTTGTTTTACTTTGATTATTCTGTACTTAGGATGCAGGGGAGTAACTTTGCATGCAAGGGGGGGTCAGCCCTATCCCCACATTGCTCCATAACTCTTTTCCAGGGAGACCATTTATGGCAGGATGTGGTACTTCACCTCTGACTTCTCCCGGGGAGACACAGCCTACACCAAACTGGCCCTGGACCGGCACACGGACACCACCTACTTCCAGGAGCCCTGTGGGTACGTTGTGCTGCTGCTGCTTCCCAGACACAGGCAGGAGTGAGGCCACAACAATGCCTTTCCCACCAGCACAGGCTTCCTTGTCTCCAGTGCTGCTGCTGGGATGTCCTGCTGGTCACACAGCAATTCTGGGGCCTGTCTGATCATAGGATCCCAGAATGCTTTGGGTTTGGGGGGACCTTAATCCAGTCCCACCCCGTGCCGTGGGCAGGGACACCTTCCCCTAGCCCAGGTTGCTCCAGGCCCTGTCCAGCCTGGCCTTGGACACTTCCAGGGATGGGGCAGCCACAGCTTCTCTGGGCAACCTGTGCCAGGGCCTCCCCACCCTCACAGGGAAGGATTTGTTCCAGATATCCAATCTAACCCTTCCCTCCTTCAGCCTAAGGCCACTGCTCCTGTCCTGTCACTGCACACCCTGGTGTGATCCCTGTGGAGTGGGGTGGTCAGTGGATCACTCTTCCTGTGCTTGGAACTTGTAGATCTTCCCAAATGCAGGCAGGGAGGGACTTGGCTGTTGGAGAGCTGGGTGTTACTGCAGTTCAGGTAGCTTTGTAGCCACACAGAGGGCTCAGGGCTGTAGTAATTTCTGTGCTACCCTGAAGCTCCTCTAACAGTCCCTTCTGAACTCCCCCTCCTCAGTCTCCAAGTGTCACACTGTTTCCAGCCTCACAGAAATCATCCATGGGTTTTATTTGGGCACGTCTGGGAAAGCCCAGCTGCTCCTGCACCCCGTGCCCCATGGCAGCTGCTGGACAGAGCTGCTGCAGGAGTTTGCTTTGCCCTAATCCTGCCTCTCTGCTGGCTGAGCTCTGTTATCTGTATCCTCCAGGAAAGGAGGGAGAGCAGCTCCCTTGGCACAGCTTGTGGTGTCTGTGCTCCTGCAATCCCTGTGCCTCAGTCCAGACAGGCTGGGCTTTGTGTTTTGGCAGTGCTGCAGCCCTGCAGGTACTCAGGAACCAGGCTTTCCCAGTCCTTCCCAGTTCACACCTGTGTGGGCTTTGGAAAGTAGTTGGTAGCTGCATCATTCTTTCCCATGTGTGCCCTCCCAAACTGCTCTTCTCATCCAGCCTGTGAGCTGGGAGTTTTATCCACAACTGGAGAAGGGAAGGCAGCAGCCCTCAGTGTGGTTCACAGGGAAGTGCAGGAGACTGCCCAGAGAAGCTGTGGCTGCCCCATCCCTGGAAGTGTCCCAGGCCCATTGGAAGGGGCTTGGAGCACCCTGGGATAGTGGAAGGTGTCCCTACCCGTGATGGGGGGGTGGAATGACATGATTTTTAAGATCCTTTCCAACACAAACCATTTTGTGATTCCAGGATTCCATGACTTAGACTGACTTTCTAGCTTTTTTCTTTTTGTCTGCTTTCCCAAGAGGGGAATCATCTGGAAATGGCCTGTGGGAGAACAGGTGGAAGCACTGTGATCCCAAAGGGATCTAGGGACACAAAGAGAAGCCATCCAGCCACAGGGCAGGATTAGCTCTTCCCAAGTGAGGCTGTGAATTTGCTAAACATCCTAATGGGAAAAGAGCTGTAAGAACAGAGGAAGATGGAAGGTGTGAGATCTTTGGCTGCACCTGGGTTTTGGAGCAGCCCTTCAGAGCAGGAAAGGTGGATTGACCTGGGTGTACCTGGCTGTGCCCAGCCAGGCAGGAAGCTTTGGGTGGTAGTGTTTGTTTTGGGAGCTCACAAAATCTTCCCCAAAGCCAAACAAAAGAAGTAATTAGTGATCAGAACTTCAGCTTTCAGAAGAGCTTTGACTGAAGTGCTCAGTGCCAGAATCCAGAGCTATTTTTATACCTTTCTTTTCCACTTGGAAGAGTTCCCCTCAGGTAGGTGTGTTCTCACCTGCAGCCAACTGGAGTACATCAATCACTGAATGAGCAGGGCTGACCATTAATGCTTGGGATTCTGCAAAATCATAGTTGTGTAGGAAAACCAGGAATTTCTGACTTTCCTAACCTCTTCTAAAGGGAAACTCCCCAGGCTGTGGGAGGCTGCAGCATTTCTCACTGCTCAGGGACCTGAGCCTGCCCTGGAGGCTTTCCCAGTGCCCTGAGCTGCCCCAGGAGCTGGTTGCCCCAAGGCACGGGGTGTCCTTTGCTCCAGTGCTCCTGGACTGACTCTAAAATCATCCTGAAGCTGTTGTGGGTGGAAGGTGGTGAGAGCACTCAGGTGAAAAGGTGAGGGTGGGGTGGCAGGTCCTGCCACATCACCTGCTGTGGGACTGGGATAACAGGCCCCCAAGGGAGATTGGAAGATAAAAGCTTTTCCAGAAGGTCCCCATTAATTTTCCAGCAAGTGAAAATTGGGAGTAGGTGGCTGGAGGCAACTCCTGTGTGTTTTTTCCTGGCAGCGCAATGCCTGCCTTGCTTGGATGAAGGAGAAGAGAAGCTTCAGAGCAGTAGTAGGACAAAAGCTGAGCTGGATGGCTTCCCACTAGGGTGGGGATGTCCTGTAGGTCAGCTCCTCACTGGGACTCCTCTGCTCCCAAAGAGAACCCCAGAGGCTTCCTGCCTGGCTGGGCACAGCCAGGTACACCCAGGTCAATCCACCTTTCCTGCTCTGAAGGGCTGCTCCAAAACTCAGCTGCAGCCAAAGATCTCACACCTTCCATCTTCCTCTGTTCTTACAGCTCTTTTCCCATTAGGATGTTTAGCAAATTCACAGCCTCACTTGGGAAGAGCTAATCCTGCCCTGTGGCTGGATGGCTTCTCTTTGTGTCCCTAGATCCCTTTGGGATCACAGTGCTTCCACCTGTTCTCCCACAGGCCATTTCCAGGGTTCTTCTGAGGGACTTCTGACTGCTTGTGGGAGACCATGACACATGTGCCTCTGCATGAGGGTTATCTGGGCTCCTCTTGTAGTTCCTGGACACCTCACCAGCACATCCAGCATTTTTTTAACTATCCTGTTCTGAGCTGTTCCAGGAAGCTGGTTTTATGGTTCTGAACCTCTGTGTCCTGCTGCATGGATGGACTTAGAACACAATCATGGAATTCCAGAGTGGTTTGGGTTGGAAGGGGACTTAAAACTCACCTCATTCCACCCTGCTCCATGTGCAGGGACACCTCCCACTAGCCCAGGTTGCTCCAAGCCCTGTCCAACCTGGCCTTGGACACTTCCAGGGATGGAGCAGCCAACAACCTCCTTTGAGTGAGGTTTGGGACTTTGGGTGCCACAAACTTGATCCTAAAGTCTCCCAGACTCACATCAGTGGCTTCGGGAAGCAGCAAAACGTGTGGGGTCAGAGGCCCGGAGAGACGGCCAGGGGGCAGGTGGAGCAGGGGCAGGTGGAGCTGGGGCAGGTGGAGCAGG